TGCAGGATTGAGGTATCAGTCCACGACCTTTGGCACGGCACCTCAAGAGACCAAATCTAGTTCGTACATCTACTCAGGTAGGCCTAGGGGATTCCACGAGTGGGAGTTCAGGACCAAGATTCGTCACGAGCAGAAGATCAAGAAGAAGGTTTTGGAGCACATGACCAAATCTACGTCAACTTCACCTGAACGAGGACGTGCCGAGAGGGAGGATGATGAAGCCCAGGCGACTGATGCGCCTGGAGCACGAGGGCAGAGTGACCCGGAAGTCCTGAAGATGGACGAGCTGGACGTGACGGACAGGGAGACAGTGAGCAGGAGGAGGAGCGTTCTGACTATGCTTCACCTCGTGCTGCGCCTAGCTTCCCTGGCTCAGCCGAGGATGAACAGCTATCAGGAGAGATTGATTCCCTGAGAGCTGAGTTGGTGCAAAAGGTGGTGGAAGGCCTGAGAGGTGATGCCTACCTATCTCACAGCTCAGGACCTTGGAGTTGAAACTTTGATGAAGGATGGTGGAATTGAGACGCTGATCGCAACTTTGAAGAAGATGTTTTTCCCTTGCAATCCTTGGAAGCCAAGGAGCTCTTCGAGTTGGACAGATGCAACAAGGCCCCTTGTCGCGCCAGAGAGGGGAGTCAGTGACTTCCTTCATTTCAAGACGTCGCAGATGGTGGCGCCAGGTGAAGGAGCTCGACTCCAACATGCTGATTTCCGATCAGATGCGTGCCGAGCTTCTCATCGAGAGCGCTGGTCTGACCAAGCAGGAGCAGCTCATGATCAGGACTGCTGCCAAGAACCATACGTTTGATGACTATGCAGCCATCTTGCTTGAGCACCAGGGGAGAATCCATTTGAAGGATTCCAGATCCCTTGCGCTGCAGTACAAGTCCAGTACCAATTACCCCCAGAAGAGAGGACAGTCCAAAGGGTCGCAAGAGCCCTGGTATCGAAACAATCGCACAGCCCATTGGTCAGAAGCCGATGAGGAGACCTGGCATGATCCAGAGGAGTATCACGGAGAAGATGAGCACGAAGAAATCTACGATGAACAAGGGTATTGTGCCCACAACGATGAATCCGAACAGCCCACTGAGTGGGACTACGTCGAAGATGATGACATCGCAGCTGCCTTGGTCGCCATGGCCGAGTGTGACCATGATGAGACACCAGCTGAAGGGCTGGATGATCTTGCAGAAGCTGCCCAATAGCTCTATGTAGGTTACATGGCCGCTGGCACCCACAAGGGGAAGACCAAGGGTTTCAAAGGCAGGGATAAAGGCAAGGGCAAGGGAAAGCACATTTTCCGAACACAGCTCAGTGTACAGGATCGAGTCAAGCGTTTGGCAGAGCTGAAAGCTCGTTCCAAATGCCTCCGATGCGGAAGTACGGGACACTGGGCAGGTGACCCCATTTGCAAATTCCCTAGCCAGGGGAAGAAGCCACCTGTCAAGCCCCAGGCATCCAAGCCTGGCGTAGGGTACATGGCAATTAGTGATGAGGAGTCAGCTGCAGGTGAGTATGGTGTTCTGCATGTGCGTTCACGTCAGGAGAAAGGAGACTCCGCATTCATGGCTTACAGGACCCCAACATCCAGATGTTCTGCAAAGGTACCGCCTTCAGCAGGTGGATCAGCCGACTCAGGTGATTTCAGCATGGTCAGTGACACCCGCAAGGACAGAGCACGTCGGACCCGTGTTCCAGCCTCTGCACAGGGAAATGAAAGCTTGCCTGCTGGGTCAGACAACAAGTTCACGTTTGGCCAACATGTTGGGTTGTCTTACCATGAGGTTTTGCGCAAGTACCCTGGTTATTGCCTATGGGGAAAACAGCAGAAGTCACCTAGCAAGGGTTTGGCAGACTTTTTGGATTGGGCCACTGACAACTATGAGATTGACGGTGAATCCCATGAAGTCATTCCACGCATTGGAAGTAGCTTCGTCTGTTGCACGGTCAAGCCATGAGAAACACACTGGATCTGGGAGACAGATGCCCCCAAATCCCCCACTTGCCAAGTGTGACACATGCACCCGTTTCACAGGTCTGGGGAGCAATGCCTACATTCAGGTCAGGACGTGCCTGGACTGTGGACACCAGACTAGGACAAAGTGCGTGCAAGTTTTCACTGAACGGCCTGAAACATGCAGACATCAGGACTTGGACAAACGTGGAATTAGCAAGTTCACTGCGCGGCTCTTTTGCAAGCAATGTGGTACGTTTGTGGATGAATTGCCCCAAGCAGAAGCTAGGAGGAGACGTCAGTTGGGACAAGACATTGCCACACTTCCCTCAAGTGCAATTGACACCACTGAAAGGGTGATCACAGCTGAAAAGGACGATGTTTGTTTGGACCAAGAGGGAGCATACCACATGATGACCATTTTCCAGCAAGATCTTGACCTGGAGCTGCGGTCAGGAGAACCTGTGCGCGCCGCCGTTGTCTATGAGACCCTTGCAAATGCCATTGAGGCTGTCCGAGAGGCAGACCCCGAGCACTGCTTTATGGCAGTAGCATTGTCACCCATGGATGACCAGATTGTTGGGCCTGCTTTGCGTGTGGTTGACATTTGGAATGATGAAGGTGTTTGGGCAGTGTTGGATGAAGGTTGCAACTCAACTGCTGGCGGTTCAGAATGGACGGAACGTGCTGTTGAGGCATATGCTGCCGTAGGGTATGATGTTGTGAAGGTTTCTGATGAGACCACGCCTTTCAAGGGTCTGTCAGGAGTCACAAACACCCATGGCAGTTACCGCATCCCTTTTGCTCTCACTTTTGTCAACAACAATCAGAAGTTGCCTGGTATCATGGAAATTCATGTCATTGATGGCAAGATACCATTGTTGTTGTCACAATGAGTTTGGTCAAAATGATGGGTGAAAGCAAGTGCACGGTAGGTCTAGGAGGACCACAGGTTGAACTTTGTCGAGTGAAAGAATCAGGATTACTTTGCATCAACTTGTCAAGTGCGTTGACGAGATTGAAAGACAGGAAATTACCCCCCAGCTTGAAGAAATTGAGACTCACTTCAAGCGCGCCAACTGCTTTTCCAGCCATGATCGAGTCTGGCAGCACAACTCCGGTGCTGATCTCTTGTGGCAAGGAGTTTGACCGCGCAATTGCGGATTTTGTGGAGTCCAACGCCTACAACAGAGTGCGCGCTGGCAGAACGGTTGCAGCTTCATTTGGCCTTTCTACAAGGACCACTTGGCTTGTGAATGTACTGAAGTTTGGGGATCCTCACCATGACGCCTCGCTTCGAGGCCATGTGGGTTGCCACCCTGAGATCTTGAAAGGTTTCTTTGCCACTACTGAGAGCCAATCCGCTATGGTTGAGATGCTGCGTATCTTGGTGGAGACAAAGGACAATGTCGGCATGGTGGTTTACTGCAACAAGAACCGACACCGCTCTGTTGGAGTGAGTTGGATGCTTGCTTCAGCATATGGAGTGATCACAGGGGATGAGATCAGTGTGACTCATGCCAATGCAGCTGTGTCATGGTCTCAGATGTCTGGGAGTTGCAAGGGTGAATGCATGGAATGCCGCCATGAGTCTGCTGCAGTTCGAGAAGCAGCCAACGTTTGCGTCCAAGCACTGGCTGACTCGTACCTGAATGAGAAACCAGATGAAGCTACACTGGCCAGAGTGCGCAAGGAAATCTTCGAAGTGAGGCCAGTGCCAACGAGCAAGGTCACCCAGCGACTTGGCTCATACGGAGCACCAGTGTTGAAGAGAAGCAAGGCCGAAGACAAGCAGACCTCAAAGGCTGCATCACCAAGCACCAAGATGATGCCGATCAAGGCACCGACTCCCACAAGGACGGTGACCACAAGAGCTGCGCCGGCCGAGTTCAAGCAGCTGCCACCGCAGCCTCCTCCTCCGCCGCCGCGAGAGGAGAGAAAAGAGGCGATTGCGATCCGGTCTAGGACACCAACTCGCCGTGCAGCACCTGGCTCAGCACGAGACCGATTGGCTCCAAACTATCCTTGGCCGGGCTATGCTTCGTCGAGGGCTTCGAGCACCAGTCATCGGGAGGAAGAGCCATCCCCGTCGAATGAGTTACTTGAAATTATGAAGGCGATGCAGAAGCAGTTGGACGAGCTGAAGAAGGAGAAGGGAGAGGCGACGCACCGACGTCGGCGACGTTCGCCATTCGCGCGGGCGATGTCGACGATCAAGAACCAGAAGCGATTCGCGCGACTCAAGGAGGCCAAGAACACCCTCACCAGCGCGCGCTGAGCTTCGTGGACGTCCACCTCTTCCAAGACCACCTTCGGTTCCACCCGCTCGGAGAGCGAGCGCTACTGGCCAAAGGAGACCGGATACAGCGGATACAGCGGATATGTGGCGAACCAACCGCTGGCCGAAGTTCCCGGTGCTGCGCGCTGGCCCCGAGGCTTGGAATCGACGAGTTCAAGTTGGCAAGACACTTGTGGAGTTCCTGGACGAGCTGTACTTTGCCGAGAACAAGGGATGGGGCTTCAAGTCGCGATGCTTGATGTGGATTGGCCCCTATTTCCCTGGGTCTGACCCGGCATCTAGGGAGCGCATAGCTCTGGAACAGGCCAACCATGAGTCCAACGTCAAGGTCGTCGTTTTGGGAGAAGATCCTGCGGCACGTCAGCTCACCACTGCGCTGATGAAGGGTGAAATTCCATGGACGGTCACTACGTTTGACTACGTGGCAGGGCGGTGGACCCTGACTGGTGTGCGTGAACCTTGCACAGGGCCACCAGCTTGGAATCAGGAGCCCCGGTTGAGGATCATGATCTTTGCACCCGGTGACGCACTCACCGAGGAGGTTGACGACGATGATCTCGCAGCCGATGCTGGCGATGGAGATGGTCAACAACCAGATGACCCGAAAGATGATGAACCTGGCGATGGTGTGCCACCAGATGAGCCAGAGGATGAGACCCATGACGAAGCAGGGGACGCAACAGAGTACCCTGGTCAGGAAGGTTCAGCAATGCTTGGTGTTGAGTTGCGAACTGATGGAAGTGAACCCCCAGTTCAAGAGAGCCCCAAAAGACAGATTTCCGAAGAAGTTGTTGTAGGCCCCTTCCAATTGTCCAATGATGTAGGTGACCACCCAGCATGTGTTTCAGATGCGTCTCAGGACTTCGACAAGCAGCTGACTGTGCAGCCACCTGGACAAGAGATTGTCTTGTCACCGTCATCAGAGGTGGAAGATGACGATGTGGTGGTGGAGCGTTGTGGCCCACCTGCAGTGGAAGGCGCTGAGAAAGCGCGACTGCTTTCGGAAGGACATCAAGTGATTCCCAGCAAATGGGTTGATACAATCAAGAACATCCATGAGATCAACGGCCCGGACTTCAAGCCGATCTACAAGGCACGACTGGTCAGCTGTGGAAACTTCGAGAGTGGCAACAAGGAGGAGATTCGCTGCGACACTCCAACGTCGGAGCCAAGAGTCACATCTGGTGCTGTGTAGCTATGCTGCTACGCGCAAGCTTCGACTTCGAACAGCGGATATCACGAACGCCTACTTTTAGGCGGCTCCAATGAGGAGGTTGCTGCTGATGGCCCCGCTTCGCGGAGGATTGACAATGTTCGATGCCGAGATCCCTGAGGACGCGGTGCTGATGTGCCGAGTCCCGGTCTATGGAACGAAAGATGCTGGACGAGGTTTTTATCTGCGGATGAACGCCGAGATCTTAGCACGAGGATTTGTGGCTTCTCAGATTTGTCCCGCAACATACTACCTCTTCGGCAAGGACCAACATCTTGCCGCTATGATGTGTACACATGTGGATGATCTGCTCTGCGCCTACACGGACGAAGGCAAGGAAGCTGTAGACGCAATCCTCAACCGCTTTTCGGTTGGGAAGATCGAAGAAGGTTCGTTCCGCTACTGTGGACGCCGTTTCTCACAGGATAAAGATTGCACGATCCATGTGGACGTCCGAGACAACACTCGGAACTTGAAACCAGCCGCACTTGGAAAAGATCGAAATATGAATGACCCCCTGGCTCAGGAGGAATTGACTTCTCTCCGGAGTGTAGTAGGAGGACTGGCCTGGATCAGTCGCTATGGTCGGCCAGATCTTGCTTACCGCGTGAATGAACGTCAGCGTTGCCATTCCAAAAGCACAGTCCAAAGTCTGAAGGACGCCAACAGGGTGACTGATTGGATCGATTGGAACGATCTTGCGGTCGTTATCTTTTCCGATGCCAGCTTTGCAAATGAAGCTGAGTTCAAGAGTCAACAGGGACGCATCCACTACATCACGTCCCGCAGTGATGTGAAGTTGGGTGAACACAAATTTCACCTGATTGGGTTTGGATCGTCGACCCTGAAGAGAGTTTGTCGAGCCACTCTGCAGGCTGAGGCATATGCTCTGCAGGGATCAGTTGAATCTGGAGACAAACTTCGAGCTTTGCTTTGTGAGTTGACTGGCCATTTGAAAACAGTCAAGGAGTGGTATGAGCATAGCCAACGCGCAATGCTGCATCTGTACTTTACAGATTGCCGCTCCCTGAGCGATCACTTGTCTTGTGAAGTTGCACGTAGCAGAGCCAACGCGCAATGCTGCATCTGTACTTTACAGATTGCCGCTCCCTGAGCGATCACTTCTTGTGAAGTTGCACGTAAGGTGCAGGACAAGCGCTTGGGTATTGAGCTTTCTGCACTGCGACAAGCACTGTGGATCAACGCTGAGAAGACATCAGAGAAGTACCACCCAGCAGGAGATGAGATCGAATGGATTGACACAGGCAGACAGTTGGCAGACTGCCTGACCAAGAGCAGGAAACCTGACTTTTTGGTCAGGGTGCTTGCTGCGGGGTACATCAACGTGAAGAAGCCGAACTGAGAGACTTGAACCAATGTACAGAGATAGGAATAATCGAAGGAAGTTTAGAAGTCAAACTTCCGACAATATGGACAGATGAAAAGCAGAGCAGGGCAGAGGCAGAGAGAAGAGAAAGATTAGAAGAGAGAAGAGTAGAAGAGAAAGAGTCAGAAGAAAGAAGATGCAGATGCGCGAAAAGGTAGGAAAGTCGCGAAACACTGTGTTTTTCCAATGATTTGGGGCCCCGGAGGGTCGAAAAGTAGGCTCGCTAAAGCGGCGGGTGCGGAGCCAGCTGGCCAGATGAGAGATGAAAAATTGCACGCCGTTGTGGCGTGAAGCACATTTCGAAGTCAAAATGTACAAAACACCTCAGCCTCGGACCACTTTTGGAAGTTGAGATGTCGAAAAAGTGCACGCCGTTGTGGCGCGAAGCACATTTCGAAGTCAAAATGTACAAAACACACTAGTGTCGGACCACTTTTGCAAGTTGAGATGTCGAAAAAGTGCACGGCGTTGTGGCGCGAAGCACATTTCGAAGTCAACATGTTAAAAACACCAGGGGTTCGGACCACTTTTGGAGGTTCAGATGTCGAAAAGTGCAACGGCGTTGTGGCGCGAATCAAGCATTTCCGAAGTCAAAATGTTAAAAACACCACATTTCGCGGCCACTTTGGAAGTTCAGATGGTCG